AAAAAATGTAAGCTTTAAAATAAGGGAAGATTTAAAATTTTTAAATGAACCTTTTAGTTTTGAAGGGTCTTTTATAGAAGTTAAGGAGTGGAACTCTGTATTTGCCTCCATTTACAGAATACCAGGGGATAACACTGACAAATTATTTTTACATAAATTTGAAATTTTATTAGATAAACTATCTAAAGAAGCAAGGACAAAAAATGTATTCATTTCCTCGGATACAAATATAGATATTCTTAAGGAAAAATCTAGTTCTCAGAATCTTTTAGAAATTTGCACCTGCTTTGGGTTTACTCCTAACGTTTTTATTCCCACTCGAGTTAACAACTTTTCAAGCACATGTATTGATAATATTTTTTCTAATGTTCGAGCTAAAAATGTTAGTAGCATAGTCTTAGACATAGGAGTTTCCGACCATAGTCTCTTGCTTCTATCTTTTAATAAACCTTGTACGTCTTCTCCAGTAAGACAGATAAAACATAAAAAGCTCACCCGAAAGTTTAGCAAGGAAAACCTTAACAAGTTTGAAATGGCACTTAAGTCCGCAAATTGGTATTTCAATGAGAGAGCTAGCCCAGATAAAAATTATGATGATTTTCTCTTGACTTTCTTAAACTCATTTAATGAGGCTTTTCCAAAAACATCTCAATTGGGAGGGACTAAAGACAAAATAAATAAGAATTGGATTACAAAAGGGATAAAAACTTCAGCAGAAAGAAAAAAACATCTTCACCAGGAATCTAAATTTAACAGAAATCCTCAGTTTTTGAACTATTACAAAACTTATAAGAAAGTGTTCAAAAAAGTTGTTGCATTAGCAAAACTAAAATCAAATGATGATTTCATTAAAAAATCTAAAAATAAATCTAAAGCATCATGGGCTGTTGTAAAAAAAGAACTAGGATTAAAAAAGCAATCGTCAGAAACACCTATTGAAGTTACAAACAGTGAAAATGCCAAAATGAGTAATATTGTATCAATTGCAAACAATTTTAATAATTTTTTTGTAAATGCCTCATATCCCTCAAATCAATATTCAAATAAAACCAAAGCCATTAACTTATTTGAGAAGAATAGTAAACACATTTCTCAACTTAATAATGCAAGATTTAACTTTAGGACAGTCTGTGTTGCAGAAGTTAAGAAAGTTTTGAATACCATAAGTAACACAAGATCATCAGGGTGGGATGAAATCCCTCTTTTTGTGATAAAACGTGTTTTTTATGTCTTTGAGGACTTATTCTGCAGAATAGTAAACCAGTCCCTGGAGAAGGGTGTATTTCCAGACAAACTCAAATATGCAGAAGTAAAACCTTTATTTAAGAAAGGTGATGTTAATAATCCCTCTAATTATCGTCCTGTTGCGTTGCTACCATGCTTTTCAAAAATTTTTGAAAAAATTGTCAAAAACCAACTAGTACAATATTTGGAAAACAATAATCTTATCAACCCCTCTCAATTTGGATTCCGGCCTAACCTTAACACTCAAAAAGCAGTAACCGACATGATCAACAATATTGCTGGGGCCTTGGATGGAGCACAGCATACTGTGGGAGTGTTGTGTGACTTGTCCAAGGCCTTTGACTGTGTTGATCATGGAATACTTCTTGAAAAATTAAGTAGACATGGAATAAAAAATATAGCATTACAATGGTTTGCATCTTATCTGAATAACCGTAAACAAAGGATAATAATATACAAATTTCAAAATAATTACATGTCAGATTGGGAGGATGTTCCATTTGGAGTGCCTCAAGGATCAATTCTTGGACCATGTCTATTCATTTTATTTGTAAACGACCTAGGAAGTGTATCAAAAATGCCAATATTTCAGTATGCAGATGATACAGCAATCATTTGCAAAGAGCAAAAAGGTGTCGACATTATTCACACAATCACCAGAGAGCTCCATTCTCTTGAGGACTGGTTTGCTGTCAACGGCCTCTCCATGAATGTATCCAAAACACAGCTGATACAATTCTCTGCCTCCAATATAAAAGATGAGATCACCCTAAATTCAAACTCAAATTTGATAGTTTCTCAAGATTCAGTTGATTATTTAGGAATAAAAATAGACTCACATTTAAATTGGCAAACTCACATTAAAAATTTATCAAAAAGACTTAATTCAGCTGTATTTGTATTACAAGTAATTAGAGATACAACAAATTTTGACACACAAATTGCAGTATATCATGCTTATTTTGCTTCAATTATGAATTACGGACTTATTTTATGGGGATCGTATAGTGAAAGCAAAAAAGTGTTTATTCTTCAAAAAAGGGCGATTAGACATATAGCCAAGGTTCCTCCAGATACACATTGCCAAGAATATTTCAGTCGATTCAAAATTCTCACTTTATACAGCTCTTATATTTATTATATTTCTTTGATGGTCAAGAGTAACTTGGATACACTTATGGAGAGTCAGCCCTCTCACAGACATGATACAAGATACAAAAAAATAATAAAGCCAATGCAACATAGACTAAAATTATTTCATTTATCCCCACAATATATGGGACCCAAAATTTATAATAAGCTGCCTTCAACAATAAAAGAAATTGATTGCATATTGAAATTTAAAAAAAACACTTAAGATATGGCTTCTGGAGAAGGCATTTTTTTCACTGGAAGATTTCCTAACAAATGTATAATTGTTTTTAATATTATGATTGTTGTTTTGTTACAATAGATTTTAGTTTGATGACAAATCACCTGTCAATCATTGATGTAATGTGATGATAATAAATAAAAAAAAAAAAATGCTCTAGATCTTGTATCTTAGCCTCTGCGTTTTCCTTTACATCTAATAAATGCTTTCCTTTTATGAGTGCTATAGTGTCATCAGCAAACATGATTATTTTGGTATTTACATTCTCTGGGAGGTCGTTTGTGTATATAGTAAATAAAACTGGGCCTAAAATTGAGCCATGCGGCACTCCTGTTACAACTGTGTCATACTCAGATTCATATTTATTGTTTTCTATTATTAAGGACTGCATGGTCTACACAGTCAAAAGCCTTTGGTAGATCACAGCAAACTGCAAGAGTCGACTGTGATCCATCCATGGCCTTATATATATTATCTGTTAGCGATATTAGTGCTGAGTTTGTTGAGTGTGACTTCCTAAAACCATGTTCTGTACCATGACTGTTTGTAATTAATCCGTTTGATTCTAAATATTCTTGTAATTGTGTGTTTGTTTACCACCTTTTCAATTATTTTAGAAAACACAGGTAATAGTGAGACAGGGCGATAGTTTTCAATTAAATTTCTATTTCCTTTCTTAAAAATTGGCCTTACGATTGAAGTTTTGAGGTTTGTTGGAAATTCACCAGTTTTTAATGATTGATTTATTATTTTTGTAAGTGGTGCAGCTATGTACTCTTTACAGTCCTTAATTAATCTAACTGGAATTTCATCCCAACCTGTGGATCTCTTGTTCGATATTGGCTTAATAATCTTTAATACATCTATCTCTTTTACTTCTTTAAATGTAAATTCTGTATTCTCTGGGATGGCTACCTTACCACAGCACTCAATTACTCTATGTGGCAAACTTTGAACTTTCAGTTGTTGTTTTATTTTTAGGTAATGGTTGTTAAAGTAAGGAATAACTATGGGGTTGTTGATAGTTTTTCCGTCAATTAATATTTCTTTTTTGTCATTATTATTCTTTTGTATCATTCCCAACTCATTCTTTATTACCCTCCATGATGCTGTACTCTTACATTTAGATCTTTTTATTAAGAGTCTTCCTTAGTGGTAGCCATGTTGGATTTCTTCCCCATAAGAACAATGTTAAACATTACATCATTTGTGGACACGTAACGGCGTTATTTGTTAAGATATAGCTTTGAAATTTATAATTTGTATTTTTAACATAATAGACTCGTGACTGAGGTTTTTGAATTTCGAAAATCCATTTTCATTTCCTTTCAATAATTAGCTTAATTTTAAGCTAATTAATAATCAATTATTCATTATAAAAATTAAAAATTGTGAAATAAAAAACGTCAATCTCTAGAGGACCGCAATTCCTTAAGTTTAACTCCTTATCCATAATTATATGACAATTTGCTGATGAGATATTTGGACCCAAAGTTAACATTGTTCTTATGGGGAAGAAATCCAACATGGCTTCCACTAAGGAAGACTCTTAAGTTATCATTTGCCTTGCATTTAGCTGCCCTTACAACTTTATTCGTTTATACATCTTGTAGTAATTTTGAAACTTGGCATTTTTATTAATCTTTATTTCACTGTGGAGAACTCTTTTTTTCTTACTGGAAATCCTTATACCTTCTGTTATCCATTTTATTACTTTACCATTTTGTTGCCTCAAAGGTTTTAGAGGAAACGACTCATTCATATTTAACATGAACTCCCTTAAAAAGTTATCATAATTTTCATTTGCTGACTTGTTTGATTCTACCTTCCAATCTGTTTGCTTTATTAACTCTTTAAATTCCTGAATAGCATCTTGTGTAAATCTTCTCTTTAAGGTATACTTTTTATTTTCTGCTTTACATTTAAAACTGGGTATTTCATCCCAAATGGCACTATGATCAGAAAGGCCTATGTCCTCTACCAAAATGTTTGTCAAAGTGAGTTTTTTTATTTGTTATAATATTATCGATGCAAGTATTGCTAATGGGTCTAGTCACCTCTTTGATATTTATTTTGAACCCATTGAAGTTTATTACATTATACAATTCCTTAGACTCTGCACTATCTAAAACGTTAACATTACGGTCTGTTGCAAACAAAACATTGACCTTTTTCCTAGATTTAAACTTTCTAAACATGACTGCAGCTTTTTTAGAAAGGTTCCTAGGGTAAACTTATATGGCACACATAAGTTTTCTTATCTAGATCGCTAAAACTAGGGATTTTACAGTTGTCAAAACAGAATATATATAACCATTAATGACCTTCAAATTGATTTCCTTTCTTTAAATTTTTATTTTATATTTTTATGTTTATATTTTAGTACCTGAAGATTATGACTACAAACCAAAGGCTGAAACAACAGCTACTTCTATTACAATGTCTTGGAGGGTGAGTTTATGTTATTCATTAAAAGCTTACAAAATATTTTGGAAAAGAACAAGGGCTATCCATATGATAATAAATTTATCAAGCACTTAACACTTAGAACCAACCAAATATTAATCAACTAATGGTTTATACATTTTTTTTTAGAAACCGACTCGAATAATAGTATATTTGATCACCAGGGCCCAAAGTAAGTTTTGACACAAACACTAGTTAAACCCTAGTGATGAAAAAAAAACTTTAGTACCGCAATGCGTTTATAAAAAAACGGCCGTTTTTTACTTTAATATAAAAAAACAATACTTGTCTTAGCTATGTAATTTTTATAAATGAATAAAAATATCGTACCTTTGGTTTATTGTTGTTATTAAAATATTCTTGATCCTGAAAAAATTATGTTGTTAAAATTACCAGTATCTGGATTTTTTTGTATTTGATTACTTATGTTTCTTATATCTATTAATTTAATTACAAAAAATAATTTGCCGGTGATTTGTCAGTCTTAAAACAAATAGCCTACATTCTATTAATCATTCTATTTCCAGGGAATCTTCCACTGACTAAAAAGTTACAAATTCCTTAACATTGTATAAATTTAATTCCCTGTTTCAGTATGAGCCAGACCACGAGTACAGTTGTCCAGTCGTTAATTACGAGTTGAGCTGGCAGGAGGGTTGGCGCTGGTTGTCTCTCAATGTTACCAACACGACAGCTACGTTAGTTAACAAGCTGCCAGTCACAGCGTACAATCTACGAGTGAGAGCTCTCACTAGCAGCGACTACGCTCCTTACTCTAACACTATTAGTGTCCGCACTGCTAAACAAGGTATTTATCACCTTGGACAGAAATATTAACCCTTTGAGACCAAATGCTGTTTTATCGGATGCAAGAGATAGGCCTAGTTTTACCAAACTTCCACTTTTAACTATAACTTAATAGAATGGTTCAAAGTTGAATGTCTTATGTAATGAAACTATGTATTGAAGTTAAGAACTACTACACCTAAAATCTAGGATTCTTTCTGGGTAATAGTACAGAATGCTCTTAAGTAGATTAAAACACATTTTACATTCTACAAAATAGTATATCACCACCTCAGTGACACTTGAATTTTACATACCTGACATCCAACATCAATGACAAAATTAAAATAGATGAAAGTATTAATTTCAACAAAAATTGCTTTATATGTATTGCCAACGATTGCTAAAACTCTTATTACCTTAGTGCGAAAAATCACCTTTGTCAAAATGGTTTTCCAGCACCTGGTCCCATCTGGAACTTAACGCTGGTCCAATCAACAAGCTCTTCCCTCACGTTGTCTTGGAATCCTCCACTGGACAAGGATCATTACAATATCAGTTACATTGTCACCTACGAGGTATGTATAGTTTTACTCTATATTCAAGAACAAATTAATTATTTTGTAACTTTTAAAAGTATGAAAACTATGTAGATTCCACAAACATTTAGAGCAGCGTGTACTAAATCTTCCTTACACTACTTTTTTACTACATATTTGACTAGATAAAACACCATACCAGTAGTAGCATATCCTGTTTAACAATTAACAATATACCAGATTTGGTATTTATGTTAAAACAGTGTATAATTTCAATTTTCCTTAAAAAAACTGAATAAAATGCTGATTTTCCTGAGTAAAATAACTGAATGCAATTAAACTATGCGACATTGATTCTGCTGGTTGACCATCATGAACATCTTGCACGGTCACGACATAATATAGAACGTCTTCTCCCGGTCTTGGTAAAACCGAGTGCATTTTCCACGGTCATGGCGACATTGTGGTCATCTTCTATGGTCATTGCAAAAACATAGACAGCTAGCTTCCACAATCACGGCAAAATTGAGAATATCTCTCACGGTCACGGCGATATCATCTTTGCGGTGAGATCATTTTGGACTTCCATATTCATGATAAAATCGTCAATTTTTTATCCCGCATATTCACAAATGCTTTCTGAAGTCACGGAAGTTTGCGCTCAACATGAAGTTAGTCTGATAATTAATTTTATCCTGCTCTGATCCCTCTGGTCAACCGTTGGCCCTACCAGAAGGGCAACACTTAGCCACTGCGAATCACAACTGGAAAATGCTGCCGGGAAAAATTAATGATTTTTTCATGGAGGTGTGTGAATTTTGGTAGCTAGTTTACATAATTTACATCTCTCTTGACCAAAATTTTATTCTCGATGTAAAGTGTTAAGTTGATACCAGTGGTGTACAGCTCGTGACACCTAAGCTGTCACTTGGCTTAGCGCGGACAGTGTAGGCGGGAGGAGGGTGGAGGTAGGGAAAAGACCGGACTGCAAAAATTTCCGCTGCCAAGCAACCTCTGGCCCAGTATGTAGTCACGGTATCAGCTGTTGATGCGGCAGCAGGTCCTAATGTGTCTGTTGTTGTATGTGTAGTGCAAGAAGCTGACAGTGTGTGAGAGGGAGAGTACAGAGACAGGAGAGGCTCATGTTGTTCAACCTGTCGTCACCCTGCAAGGTCTACAACCTCTGGCCCAGTATGTAGTCACGGTATCAGCTGTTGATGCGGCAGCAGGTCCTAATGTGTCTGTTGTTGTATGTGTAGTGCAAGAAGCTGACAGTGTGTGAGAGGGAGAGTACAGAGACAGGAGAGGCTCATGTTGTTCAACCTGTCGTCACCCTGCAAGGTCTACAACCTCTGGCCCAGTATGTAGTTACGGTATCAGCTGTTGATGCGGCAGCAGGTCCTAATGTGTCTGTTGTTGTATGTGTAGTGCAAGAAGCTGACAGTGTGTGAGAGGGAGAGTACAGAGACAGGAGAGGCTCATGTTGTTCAACCTGTCGTCACCCTGCAAGGTCTACAACCTCTGGCCCAGTATGTAGTCACGGTATCAGCTGTTGATGCGGCAGCAGGTCCGAATGTGTCTGTTGTTGTATGTGTAGTGCAAGAAGCTGACAGTGTGTGAGAGGGAGAGTACAGAGACAGGAGAGGCTCATGTTGTTCAACCTGTCGTCACCCTACAAGGTCTACAACCTCTGGCCCAGTATGTAGTCACGGTATCAGCTGTTGATGCGGCAGCAGGTCCTAATGTGTCTGTTGTTGTATGTGTAGTGCAAGAAGCTGACAGTGTGTGAGAGGGAGAGTACAGAGACAGGAGAGGCTCATGTTGTTCAACCTGTCGTCACCCTGCAAGGTCTACAACCTCTGGCCCAGTATGTAGTGACGGTATCAGCTGTTGATGCGGCAGCAGGTCCTAATGTGTCTGTTGTTGTATGTGCAGTGCAAGAAGCTGACAGTGTGTGAGAGGGAGAGTACAGAGACAGGAGAGGCTCATGTTGTTCAACCTATCGTCACCCTGCAAGGTCTACAACCTCTGGCCCAGTATGTAGTCACGGTATCAGCTGTTGATGCGGCAGCAGGTCCTAATGTGTCTGTTGTTGTATGTGTAGTGCAAGAAGCTGACAGTGTGTGAGAGGGAGAGTACAGAGACAGGAGAGGCTCATGTTGTTCAACCTGTCGTCACCCTGCAAGGTCTACAACCTCTGGCCCAGTATGTAGTCACGGTATCAGCTGTTGATGCGGCAGCAGGTCCTAATGTGTCTGTTGTTGTATGTGTAGTGCAAGAAGCTGACAGTGTGTGAGAGGGAGAGTACAGAGACAGGAGAGGCTCATGTTGTTCAACCTGTCATCACCCTGCAAGGTCTACAACCTCTGGCCCAGTATGTAGTCACGGTATCAGCTGTTGATGCGGCAGCAGGTCCTAATGTGTCTGTTGTTGTATGTGTAGTGTAAGAAGCTGACAGTGTGTGAGAGGGAGAGTACAGAGACAGGAGAGGCTCATGTTGTTCAACCTGTCGTCACCCTGCAAGGTCTACAACCTCTGGCCCAGTATGTAGTCACGGTATCAGCTGTAGATGCGGCAGCAGGTCCTAATGTGTCTGTTGTTGTATGTGTAGTGCAAGAAGCTGACAGTGTGTGAGAGGGAGAGTACAGAGACAGGAGAGGCTCATGTTGTTCAACCTGTCGTCACCCTGCAAGGTCTACAACCTCTGGCCCAGTATGTAGTCACGGTATCAGCTGTAGATGCGGCAGCAGGTCCTAATGTGTCTGTTGTTGTATGTGTAGTGCAAGAAGCTGACAGTGTGTGAGAGGGAGAGTACAGAGACAGGAGAGGCTCATGTTGTGCAACCTCTCGTCACCCTGCAAGGTCTACAACCTCTGGCCCAGTATGTAGTCACGGTATCAGCTGTTGATGCGGCAGCAGGTCCTAATGTGTCTGTTGTTGTATGTGTAGTGCAAGAAGCTGACAGTGTGTGAGAGGGAGAGTACAGAGACAGGAGAGGCTCATGTTGTGCAACCTCTCGTCACCCTGCAAGGTCTACAACCTCTGGCCCAGTATGTAGTCACGGTATCAGCTGTAGATGCGGCAGCAGGTCCTAATGTGTCTGTTGTTGTATGTGTAGTGCAAGAAGCTGACAGTGTGTGAGAGGGAGAGTACAGAGACAGGAGAGGCTCATGTTGTTCAACCTGTCGTCACCCTGCAAGGTCTACAACCTCTGGCCCAGTATGTAGTCACGGTATCAGCTGTAGATGCGGCAGCAGGTCCTAATGTGTCTGTTGTTGTATGTGTAGTGCAAGAAGCTGACAGTGTGTGAGAGGGAGAGTACAGAGACAGGAGAGGCTCATGTTGTTCAACCTGTCGTCACCCTGCAAGGTCTACAACCTCTGGCCCAGTATGTAGTCACGGTATCAGCTGTAGATGCGGCAGCAGGTCCTAATGTGTCTGTTGTTGTATGTGTAGTGCAAGAAGCTGACAGTGTGTGAGAGGGAGAGTACAGAGACAGGAGAGGCTCATGTTGTGCAACCTCTCGTCACCCTGCAAGGTCTACAACCTCTGGCCCAGTATGTAGTCACGGTATCAGCTGTTGATGCGGCAGCAGGTCCTAATGTGTCTGTTGTTGTATGTGTAGTGCAAGAAGCTGACATTGTGTGAGAGGGAGAGTACAGAGACAGGAGAGGCTCATGTTGTTCAACCTGTCGTCACCCTGCAAGGTCTACAACCTCTGGCCCAGTATGTAGTCACGGTATCAGCTGTAGATGCGGCAGCAGGTCCTAATGTGTCTGTTGTTGTATGTGTAGTGCAAGAAGCTGACAGTGTGTGAGAGGGAGAGTACAGAGACAGGAGAGGCTCATGTTGTTCAACCTGTCGTCACCCTGCAAGGTCTACAACCTCTGGCCCAGTATGTAGTCACGGTATCAGCTGTTGATGCGGCAGCAGGTCCTAATGTGTCTGTTGTTGTATGTGTAGTGCAAGAAGCTGACAGTGTGTGAGAGGGAGAGTACAGAGACAGGAGAGGCTCATGTTGTTCAACCTGTCGTCACCCTGCAAGGTCTACAACCTCTGGCCCAGTATGTAGTCACGGTATCAGCTGTTGATGCGGCAGCAGGTCCTAATGTGTCTGTTGTTGTATGTGTAGTGCAAGAAGCTGACAGTGTGTGAGAGGGAGAGTACAGAGACAGGAGAGGCTCATGTTGTTCAACCTGTCGTCACCCTGCAAGGTCTACAACCTCTGGCCCAGTATGTAGTCACGGTATCAGCTGTTGATGCGGCAGCAGGTCCTAATGTGTCTGTTGTTGTATGTGTAGTGTAAGAAGCTGACAGTGTGTGAGAGGGAGAGTACAGAGACAGGAGAGGCTCATGTTGTTCAACCTGTCGTCACCCTGCAAGGTCTACAACCTCTGGCCCAGTATGTAGTCACGGTATCAGCTGTTGATGCGGCAGCAGGTCCTAATGTGTCTGTTGTTGTATGTGTAGTGCAAGAAGCTGACAGTGTGTGAGAGGGAGAGTACAGAGACAGGAGAGGCTCATGTTGTTCAACCTGTCGTCACCCTGCAAGGTCTACAACCTCTGGCCCAGTATGTAGTCACGGTATCAGCTGTTGATGCGGCAGCAGGTCCTAATGTGTCTGTTGTTCAAGCCACACAACAATCTGGTAAGTTTTACCATTTTAAGTAAGGAGGGTCTTTTGTTGATTTGGTTCTTGTGTTGGTTTTCCTTATAGTTTATAAAGTTCAGTAGTATATTATTTATTTAATTGTATGGCTATTGTTTTTTATGTTTTAAAATGTTTATCTCTTTGCTTCGATTTTTGTCTAAGTTTAATTTTTACACATTTTTTAGGTGTGATGTTTTATTTTTTGCCAATTTTCTAGTCAAATCCTGTAGAGATATGGTTCTCATCTCCGAGCGTGGGAGCGGAAATGCCGAGATTCCTAGAAAGTTTAAACCAAACTGCTCGATAAAGCAAGTTTTGTTAAAACAAACTGTAATATTTTACGATCGAGGGCGGATAATCCGATCATCGGTTAATGCGAGGTTAAGAGGCAGTCTACTGTATTATTTTATTTAATGTGTGTGATTTTTAAGCCCACTATTTTTAAATTAATCTAATCAATTATGTCTGATTGTAGTGCCTTCGGAGGTGGTTTCTGTGAGCCAAAAGCAGCATGAGGCGTCAGATTCATCTATCACAGTGTACTGGGAGCCTGCACAAGTTTGTTCTGGATTCTTTTTGGAATATGCTTTCCAGCTGTACAAGGTACATGGATTTATTCACATACAATACAAGTTTAAGTGTTTTTACTGTTGAATTATGTTCTATACTCTTTATCATCATCATTACTTTAAGAGGGGGATTCACTCGGGATCACACCATTTGTCCGAGTTTTCAACTGTCCGAGTTTGTTAAAAATTACAAAATATTTGAAAAATCAGTTGTCCGAGTTTTGATAAATAACTACATGGAGGATACGCGTCCGGTAACCGGGCGTGGATAAGGCGTACGGCAATGACGTCATGGGGTTGCGGGAACCTGGAACGCCTTTACTACAACAATACCATCACCAACCATCGGTGGTCGTGGTGTAGTGGATAAGATGCTCGGCTGATATGCAAGAGGTCCAGGGTTCGAGTCCCATAGGTGACATTAACTTTTTGTCGAAGATTTTGCATTGAATACCATTTATTCTTAACTGTACATCTTTAATTAGAATTTTTGGCATTTATAATTTTCTAATAGAGAAAGAATTTAACCTTAATTCGATTTTTTCATTATCAGCAAGTTTGGTTGGTTAGGTTAGGTTATGACAGTAATTGCCGGACGTCTAATCCACGTCCGGTTACCGGACGCGTATCCTCTGCGAAATAACTAATAATAATTAGATAAATCAACTGTCCAAGTTTTCATTTGTCCGAGTTTATTAAATTATTTAAAAAAATATCGAAATATCAACTGTCCGAGTAGGGTCTACATCAAATGTGACACTGAGCGCCGAGACCAGCGTGTCTAAGGCGCCTGGTCAGAAGCCGATGTAAACCTCTTCTGCGAAGGAGTCCGGCATTGTGCAAGCCGCGAGAGCCCCTCACGTCGACTTGAGAAAAATTATATTATTTTTTTTTATAGGACTAATTTTACAATTTTTAATTATAAAATTAAACTGTCATTGCCTAACACAACCAACCAAACTTACTGATAATATAAAATACCCCCACCGCAGCAAACCTGCAGACAAAGCGAATTTCAACTGCCATTCACTCCAATGTATTTTTTTTATATTCAGCTTAAAATACACAAGGTGAGTGTTGAATGTAATTTCCGTATTATCCCACTTTTAAAATATCTATTTACTTGACAGGAAGAAGATGTCACTTCCACATTGAGCAGTGGCACTACCAAGGAACCTGTGGCTCATTTTGAAGACCTTGAACCCAAAACAATGTACAGAGTGAAGATATTTATCGTCACTTCCGGCGGATGGAACCCTGAGAAATTCTTGTGGATAAACGCCACTACAAAAGCAGCAGGTGGAATATTATTTTATTTTAATGGATATATGTATACACCTATGTGTTATTTTCGAAATCATTATTGAATTTTATAATCATAAATGCATTTTACCAAGCGCTAGTGTCATTATGACTGCAAGTAAAAAAACAATCAGCAGTAACACTGCACTGGGGCAACGGCTATTTTAATGGCTGGAGTGTGGGACTTTTATCCTAAGTCCTGGGTTCAAATCCTGCCATTGACCTTTGACCTTTAGTTATATAATGATGCTGTAACACACTGTTTTA